ACTGCAGTAAAAATGAACTCCAGCTATACACAACAAGGATGACTCTTACCACCAAGAGTGTCGACAGAAACATAAAAGCCACACACAAAGAAATGATTTCATAAATGTTCAAAAGACAGGCAAAATACACTATTTAGGCAAATCTGTTTAGAAAGGTAAAATTTTTCTTCACACAAATCAGGCAAGGTTGCTTCTGGGTGAGAGGAGAAGATGTGACAAGGCCAGAGCATGGGAGGCAAACTTCTGTTTCCTGACCAGGATGTAGTTAGACAAGTGTTCACTTTAACTGTACTGTGCATATATTTTGGATATATAGCTCTCACACACACATATACACAAAAAACTAGCTAGATAAAAGACACTATAAACAAAGTTAAAAATAATCATATCCTGAGAGAATGTATTTTTGTCATCAAGGGTAAGTATTCAGGATATATAAACAAGTCTACCTTTTTTCCCCCCTTGCTCAAACCTATATCTTTATTCATGGGTATAGTCCCATTCATCTTCCCACACCTGTTCATCATGAATGTTTATGTATCCACTCATATAAACTATTGTATTGCAGGATTGAGTATGTAATAGTATTTACCTGTATTGCCTTTAATTCTAATGCTCTTTCCAGTGTCTTCCTCAGCCTTCATCATTTTGTGCTGATCTCCTCCTTATTGTATATTGCCTTTCCCTTCACCCAAGTTACTATGTGTCTACCTTCGAGTTAGTGATTTACCCTTCTTCCCCCTCCCATCCTGGTAAACTTCAAAGAATGTTTCTGTGTGTAAATGTTTTCTTGACTTTTTATAGTAGTGGTCTCATACAATATTTGTCCTTTTGTGATTGACTAATTTCACTCAGCATAATGTCCTCTAGGTTCATCCATGCTGTGAGGTATTTCACAGATTCATCATTATTCTCTAACACTGTGTAGTATTCCATTTTGTGTATGTACTATATAGTTTAGTTATCCATTCAATCATTCATTGATGGGCCCTGTACTGGTTCTCTAGTGCTGCTATAACAGAAATTCCACAAGTGGATGGTTTTAACAAACAAGAATTTTATTCTCTTACAGTTTAGGAAGCTAGAAGTCCTAGTTCAAAGTGTCAGCTCTAGGGGCTGGGTGAAAGCCCCTTGACCTTGGGCTTCAGCTCTGCCTCCTGTCCCAGGCCCACTGGAGTTGGAGGCTTTTTCTGACTTATACAGCTGCTGCCTGCTGAAGTGGACGAACCGTAGATAGACAAGTAAAAGGGCATAATTCCAAGATGGGCAGGCCACACGACAGACCTTTGGTTCAAGTCCAGGAACAATCCTAAGATCAGCAAGCAACATGGCAGGCCAAGACTTGGCCAAGTGCAGGGTCCAGATATGCCAAAAGCCAAAGACCTTTCTCAAAACTTCTCCTTACACACTGGAGGCAGTCCATACCCCAAAGGCAATGACTCAGCGGCTCACAGCGGATTCCACCATGGAGATTACAGACTCATCATGGGCAATAATTACATGGAGCTGCCCAGCCACTCAAAACCATGGCCCAGTCAAGTTGACACACAACCTTAACTACCACAGGCACTTATTTCTCTTTTCTAGTAGTGGGATTGCTGGATCATAAGGTATTTCTATTTCCAGCTTTTTGAGGAAGTGCCATGCTGTTTTCCACAGTGGCTGTACCATTTTACAGTCCCACCAGCAGTGTATGAGGATTCCAGTCTCTCCACACTCTTGCCAGAAAGATATCTGACAAAATCCAACACCCATTTATTATTATTATTATTAAAAACAAACAAACAAAAACAGCAAAATAGGAATAGAAGGGAAATTCCTCAACATAATTAAGAGAATATTCACAAAACCAGCAGCCAACATTATTCTCAATGGAGAGAGAATGAAAACATTGCACTTGCAAATGGAACCAGACAAGTATACCCTTTATCACCACTCCTATTCAGTACTGTACTAGCCAGAGCAATAAGGCAAGAAAGGGAAATGAAAAGCATTCAAACTGGCAAAGAACAAATAATTTGCAGATGATATGATCCTATACATAGAAAATTCTAGAGACTCAGCAAGAAAACTATGGTAACAG